AAGCAAACACCTTTCAGGAAGAACAGAGAAAGGAAAAGAGTTGTGCACAAGCTACAAAAAATAGCCTCAATGCTAAACAGGTAGTTATTAACTTTTAGAAAAAGAGATTCAATTCAATTGAATAGTTCGATAATTCAATTACACCATATTTCTGCAACACAGATATTATAGTAACAGGTAAAAATAAACTGAGCAATGTAACGGTCAATGGAATGAAGAACATGCTGTTATCTCTCTTTACAGTACTGCGTAACAAATGAAGAAAGGGAGAACAAGAGTCACTGGAGTGATTCATGTAGTCATAATGCTGCCAGTGAGTTGGATGGACATGGTTAAAATAAAATTACAGATGGAACACACAGATTAATGACTAAATTCCCAGGACAACAAACAGCTGAGTAGCCTGGAGACACAGAGCTCACAAAAAAAACTTTTTGCCTATATGCATAAAATACAATGGAATAGTTTCATTTATGGAGGGAAAGATGAGGTTAATTTGGAATCAAAATTCAGCATAACAACTGATCTGTAAGAAAGTGACTTAGAAATTCTTAAAAGGCAAGGAAATTGCACAACATCTAAATCATTCCAATGTCATGTGATATTTTAGTTGCTATTGACAATTAAAGTAAACATTTGTGCCAAGTGGTAACATTCTTGCTCCCTTCAGTCTATCCATAAGAAGAAGAAGAAGGAAAAAAAAATCGAAATGCTATTAAGCAAGCACAGAGAATCTAAGAATTTTAAGAGTTAGATGGAATGTAGAGGTCATATAAAACCACTTCCCACAAAATTCCAGGAATTCACATTCTTTTCGAAGAATACCCCTAAAAGATACTCATACAACCAATCTGAAACTATCTACTGGGGAAGAGCTAACTAACTTGTTCAAGCAGGTCACTCCATTTCGGAAACTCTATTTAGTGGAAAGTCCTTCACTGTATGAGGGGGAAAAATCTGCTTATAACTTTTATCCACTGGTTCTATCTTGTGTTTAGAAGTCATATGACAGAACTCTACCTTCCTTTGCTTAAAAAGTCCTAGTACGGTCTCTAATTCCTCCAAATGATCTTCACATGGCACTTCTCCAGATCTTTCACCATCCTGGTCAATCTCCTCTAGACAGGAACCAATTTGTCATGGTCTTGTCCCATGTGTTTAATCCAGAGCAGTAGGACAATTCCTTCCCTCATTCTGGACGGTACAGTTTTAATAATAAAAACCTCAGATTAAAAGGAAATACAGTGTGATGTAGTGGATAGAAGCCTGGCCTTGGGTTCAAGTCCTGACTGACAGATATCACCAGTGTAAATCAAGGACAGGTTATTTATAACTCCAGTGGTTCCAAGAAACTCTCTGAGACCATAAAAAAACACTGCAGAATTGCTGATTTGCTTTGGTGGACAAAGCTTTGACAATGAAGGTTCCTTACAATCATGAAATTATAAGTATTCCATTTGGTCCTCCAACACAATGTCCTAACCCCTCTACCAGCCCTCCAAAAAAATGAAAATGCATTCACATAGGCCTTCATTATTTCATACCCAGACTACTGCAATAGCCTACTGGTTGATCTCCCCGCCTCAAGTTTCTCCTTTCTCTGGTCCATCCTCCCCTCGGGTCAAAATGATCTTTTGTAAAGTGTAAGACTGACTACGTCACTCCTACTCCAATGGCTCCCTATTGCCTTTAGGATCAAATAAAAAATCCTCTATCTGAATATTAAAGTTCTTCACAACTTAGCCCCTTCCTACCTTTCCAGTTTTCTTACACTTTATTCCTCTTTGTATAACTCCTATGATCCAGTAACACTGACCTTCTTGCTGTTCCTCCGACACCACAATGCATTTTCCAACTCTCTGACTTTCCACTGACTATCCACCACGTCAGAATATTCTCCTTCCTCTTCTTTGGCTCTTGGATTCAGCTGAATTCTGCTGACTGCAAGACACTTTTCCTGGGTCTTTTCCAATTTTTCCCACTGTTAGTTGCCTTCCCTCTGTCATTTACCTGCATTTATCTTGTACGTACATGGTTGTTGGCACGTTGTCTCTCCTATTAGAATGTGAGCTCCTGGAGGTTAGGAACCACATTTTGGCCTTTTTTACATCCCTAGCACTCAGCACAGTGCCCAGCGCATAGTTTAGTGTTTAATAAATGCTTATTGCTATTGCTGATGATACTGATACTTTTAAAACATTACAAAACAGCCAAAAGTGATTGTTTGGTGTGTCACAGAATCTTTAAACGTGATTATTCATTTTTAGTAATATTCAAAAGGAGTAGCTCTTTAAACTGAGGGGATTGGGGGAAATTCTTTTCATGGTCAAGTCTTTTTTTTTGCCCCTGGTCCAAGGCTACTATGGGATAGACGGAATGGTAGAACCATAAGGGAACTTGTAAATCTTTTAACCAATGGAAAGTCCCAACACTTTAGACCATAGAGTTTTAGATCTAGAGATTTAGAACTGGAACAGAACATGTGGACAAATTCTACATTTTAGAGACTATTGCATGGTCCCAATCTTACACTGGAAGACTTCTGGGACTGGCAAATCCCTGAAATTGCTTTAGATGACAAAATAATTCATGTAAGATATACGATGTCCTATATTTTTCCAACTGTCCTTCTAGGGAAACACTCATTGCCAGAGGGATAAGGTAGGCAAGCAGTTAGTTCTCCATTTCCGAAGGATAATAACCTTAGGAGAAATTACTGTCTAAAAATTTTTTCAGGGGCAGCTAGGTGGCACAGTGGATAGAGCTCCAGCCGTGGAGTCAGGAGGACCTGAGTTCAAATCCGACCTCAGACACTTGAAACTTACTAGCCGTGTGACCCTGCAAGTCATTTAACCCCATTGCCTCACCAAAAAGCAAAAAAAAAAATCACCTTTACATGACAGAAATGAAATTTACATCATATCCTACTACAAATGAAAATTTTTTATGAAATGGAGCATTACAAATGGTGAACAGTAAAATCTATAAATATGAAGCAAATTGTATAATTCCTTGGAGTTATTTATAATGAGATAGGGACTACATCCTGGTTCATTAGAGTTATAATGAATACTTTTTTCTTTTAAATGTTTGGATCTAGACCTGTGAGTTCATCAGTTTATAGTTCTCCAGGTGTATAAATTCTCTCTACTGATGCAAATAGACACGCATCTCCTTTGTAACTTATAGTCTTAGTGTGTTACCTAGGGCACTAAGATTTCAAGTGACTTGGCCATAGTCACATAGAGGCAAGATATCAACCTAGATTTTTTTGACCCCAAGGCCAGCTCTCTAACCTACTTAATACATATATTTTGAAAAGAAAAAAAAAAGAAGTCCAAAAAATGTGTTGGGATGGATTTCTACCTGAAATAGAACATTACTTTTTAACAACTTAGTAAATGCTCAATTTTACATTCATTTTAAATAAAGACTTTTAAGACCACAAAGTATCAAAATTATCAAAATTAATCTTCAGTTTTTCTTGCTGGGATATCTATGTGTGAAATGAATTCTGCTGTGTGTATATGCACATTTTATATTCACATCTTCTACTAAAGTCTTTCTACAATGATTCACAGCGGCACAGATATAATGCTGAGTTCTTGCAGGCCAAAACAGTCAACTGTAAGCTCTAGCAAGCCCAACTATGTTAGAAAAGTTTCAAGGTACAGGTCTGATGTGCTGTTCAGGGATCACCAAGAAACTGCCCACCATGTGAATTTTTTTTGGCAACAGAAACTCAGCCAACTACCTACTAGGGTATGAAACAAGCAACACTTGAATGAAGTCACTGATCTTTGAACTCATACACTCATACACATACACTCGTACAACAGTGGCACACTAGAAATGAAGCTAGACTAAGAAAAAGAAGTCTTAGCATGAATCTGAGCCCTGCTACTAGTGACTATGTTGTTTTAATAAGTCAATTCCCCTTTCTTGGCTTCCTTAGACTAGATGGTCTCTCAGGTCACCTACTTAAGGTCTAGCTCAAATTATATGACATTATATATTTATATAAAACTTATACTAAATCATGATGATGCTTCTGATAATTATGATGCTGACAGATATGAATAAGTATAATTTCAAAAACATAAGACATAAGGAAAGTAATGTCAATGTGACTAAAATAATTTTAAAAACTGATAAATATTAAGTTATAAAAACAGATTTTAAAAAATATAGTCTGGAAGCAAAATAAAAATATCAAACCTAAAAATCTATCACATCACTATATTACAAACTACATTCCATCACATAAAAATTATAATTTATTCTTTCCCCATGTCAAGGCATATGGTCAAAAACTATAGCATTATGTTTTTACTAATTCATTCATAGATAGAGAAATATCTAGCCAATGCTTGATCCTACTTACACATACCACCACAAAATAAGTTTTAAAAATTATTTATGATTATATGGAGGGTCCCAAAGTTGTGCACTTTAGCATAAATGTTAAAAGACATAACCAAGCATAAACTCCCAATTCTCTTATAACAAAACCTAGTCAGAATATTTAACTGCAATTTTCATGGCAACAATTAATTTGGAAACTGAAACAGAAAAATGTACAATCTTTATAATTTCACATAAAAATATTCCTAATTTGATTATCAAAGTGCCTCAATTTTAGAAGAGTCTTCATCTGTGTAACAGTTATTCCCAATAAAAATAAACAAGATATCAAAAAGTAAGTCATTTGTTTGCAGAACTTTTTTGCCCTGATCAATATGTTATCAGTCTTGACCAACAGGACTGAAAACTCAAAGCAAATAAAAGGGCAAGAAAACTTTGTTTTAGATTATTTGGTAGAGGAACAAACTATTTTAAATAACCATATTTTATTAAATCCATTTGTTTTCTCAAAAATTCTTAACCAAAGAAACCCAATAATAACACCAAAAAGGATCTTTATTTAGCTCTAATTAATACCATTATGATATCTGATAGAATACTTTAAAGTAGTTAAATGCAGGGAAATAGCAACTCACCTAATATGTAGATGATCTTTCGGGCACTTCGTTGGCCAAGGGAATTTGTAACCTTACAGATATAAACACCGGAATAATTGTAAGTCAGTGGATTGATAAAATACAGAGTATTCTCTGAAGTCTCTAAACCATCAGGCCACTGTCCATCCAACCTGAAAGATGTTCAAAGATGTTAAAGACATTTCTAGGACACACTACTACCCATTTATTACAATCCAAAACATTGTTATTATTTGAAAAGGTATAATGTATAGAAAGCTGGCCTAAGAGTAAAGAGTACCTGGGTTCAAGCCCCTACCCTGATGGTATAATCCTAGGCAAGTCACTTTACCTCTGGTAACTCAAAAAAATATCTAAGACACTGATTATTGTCAAACTATATTAGTAGAGGAAGTTTTTTTCCCCCCTCAAAGTTCCCTATACCAATGAAATCAGATATCAGATTCAAAACATTTTAAAGTAACATTAGCAAAGAAAATTTTATTGCTTAAATATTTTTATTTGTTAAATTTGTACAATAGCTGTAAAATAGCTCCCCAGCCTCTCTTAATTCCAGTTCTTTCCCTCTGTTAATTATGTTTTATTTATCCTATATAAAACTTGCTTTGTATATATTTTTTGCATGTTGTCTCCCCCCATTAAATTCTAAGTTCCTTAAGGGCAAAGCCTTTGTCTTTGGCCACTTTTTGTATGCTTAACACTTAGCAGAGTGCCTGGCACATGGTAATTTCAAATGTGAAGGAAAATCATCCTAACCAAACAGCAGTTTTATAACTCAGTAGTCATAATACTTGAGTTACAAAGATCATTAATGTTTTTTCTCTTGAAATATGTCTATTAAGAAGTTAAGTCAAAAGATCAGAAACGCAGAGGAAAAAAAGTTTTTGAAGAACTTTAAATGATTATTTCCACTTTTATTCTTTATTTTGCACTTAGTTATTTAATAGTTGCTGAATTGAGGTAAACCACATATTTTTAAAATGTCAATAAAATTAGAAGGATGTAGGATCATTCAAATGAAATCAACTCAACAAATAGTACCTTCTATAATGTGGAAGGCTCTGTGCTAGGCATAGAAAATAGAAAAGCCAAAACAAAAAACTCTGGCTTTTCAGTAGTTTGTATTGTCCCTACAAGACTGTAATAAGTACCTAGATACAGAAATGCAAGGTAATCTGAGGGTGAAGAGAACAGTAACATTTTTGTGGGTTAATCAGGGAAAGCAGACTACTCAGAGCCTAAGAGGGTAGATAAGGACCCTGAGATTGTGAGAAGGGAGGGAGGGAGGGAGTATATTGAAGCCAGAGGATAAAGAAGGCAGGAGACAGAATGCTGACAGCACAAGGAGGATGAAGTAAAACTAGAGAGGAAGCGCATAACCAGACTGCGATGGCCTAAAACGTGCTCAAGACTTTACATTTTTTCTTTATTCATATCAGAAGCCACTGAAAGCTTTTCAGCAAGGAAAGAACATAGTAAGACATGTGCCTAAGAAGGATTAATATCTAGAGCTACGAGACCAATGATCAAGCTCTTACAGATGTGTCAAGAACACTACAATTCAGGTGAGAAGTGAAGAAAGCCCGGACTGCCCTTCCAACTGTCCCTGTACCTCATTCCCTCTTGAATCTAGAATCTTTCCTTCCCATATTTCCTTCCCATCCATTCATGATTTTCCAGACTATCATACCTGCTCTAATCTCATTTTATCCCTTCAAAACCTTGACTCTAGTTACCCAGTTCAACTTTCCAGTATTGTCTACCTTTAAATCTCTTGAGAGGCAGGATGATAAAGAGTAGAGAAGCCAAGAGCAACTGGGTTCAAATCTAGCCTCAGGCACTTACTAGCTGTGGGACCCTGGGCAAGTCATTCACCCTTTTTGTGCTTCAATCCTCTCATCTGTAAAATATATCTGATGGTCATTAATGTCCTTTTCTAGTTCCAAAACTCTGATTTTATTAACCTGCTGCAGTCCCACCCTTCCTACCTTCGCCCTACTTACTCACTTCCAAACTCCAACAGTAGATTATTCCCACCATTCTGGCTTTCTCCACTCCTATTGTAATGTTGCTTAATCCCACTGGAGGAAGTTACAACTACACACCCTGGGTCTGCTAAGAACCTGTTCTCCAATCTCTAGTGAGCCCAGGCAAGCCAACCTTGTGACTCTCTATCACTGACTAATTCCCATCAGCATCAGCAGGGTACAATGAAGAGATGGATTCAGTCTCAGAAGCCTCAACTCAAATCCTGGTTCTGTGGCTTAATACTCCTGTGACCACAGAAGTCACTTAATCTGAGTCTCAATTCTTCACCTGTGAAACAGGAAAGGAGCAAAAGATCTTCTAGATGGCACCACTGGATGGAGGACTTTAAGGTAACTTCCAGCTCTAAATCCAAGATCCTATTATCTGCTGCAAATCTTCTCCTTAAGCTATCAATTCTATTTTCTTCCCCCTTACATATCTGCTTATGGAAAAAAAAAAGTCACTCATCAGGAGCAATCTTTTTCTCTAATTACCATCTCTAATTTATTCAACATCATCCATCCATTCTCTCCCCTTTGCCCTAGTCTCAGATAAAGGACATTTTTCCCTATGGTCTCTTCTTGCAGCTTGTCCCTTAGATCACTTCTTTACCTTTCTATATTAGACTGTGTATTCGATATCCTTCCCAAGAATCAAAGGTCCACTTCTAATACTCTCACCTATAATGACAGATGGAGCTAAGAGATAGCAATTACAGATATGAAAAATGAAAGACATGAAGTTTTGCCATCTGTACTTTTCAAAATATATTTTACAGAAATTTCCCTCCTTTAAAGTTTAAAATACTCTGTTACCTGCTCCATTTAGACTGTGAAGGTGGTGGATTTGCATCTGCATTACACTTGAGATTAACATTCATTCTTCCAACAAACCAATTTCCATCATACCCTGTGACTGAAACTTCAGGGGCATCTATAAAATAAACATATTACCAATGAAGAACACAGTATGTCAGCTGAAATGAGTTTACAATACAAATACACATGTAAGACATGTCAACATATGAAAGATTTGTCTTATTTTGAACATATAAGCATAACTAATATTCTAATTTTATGAGTAACACTGAAATGAATCCATCTGAAAAATAATTCAAGAACCAAATTGTTACCAAAAGAAAAACAAAAGATCCAGGAGTTCAAAATAATAACAGTAGATGGTGGTGGTAATAGTACTACTAATACCATGTGACATTTACTTAGTGCTTTAAAGTTTACAACATAATTTATACCTATTAAATAATTTGATTCTCACAGCAACCTTGTGAAGTAAGTACTGCTGGTATTATCTTCATTTTGCAGTTAATAAATAACTCAGGAGCATTAAAAACTGATTTAGAGTCACATTACTAGCAAGTTATATCAGAGGTAGGAATGAACCTTTATCTTCCTCACTACTCAGCATTATATGCTAAGAGACTTATGAGGCACATAAAAATAACACAAAAAATTTTCCAAAAGGTACATTAACTAAAATACAAAAGAAACCAATTTTCAAATCTGTTATAAAATCCTTTTGTGAAGATCTAGCTACTTTCCTTTTTTCCATCTACACACACATATATATATAAACTATGTGGAATAGAAGGGGGATAAAAGTATATAACACCCGGGTATAAGGAAGACAAGATTCAAGATATTGTGGGTTTTTGGGAACAATATTAAAGGAGAACTGGCCTACTAAAAGCAATTGCTTTTGGGGAAAAAAAACAACAACAACAACAACATAATCAAGGATTCACTAGTTGTCTCATAAAGTTATAGTTTTACATATTAAATGGAAATAGAATATGGATAAAACTGCTCACCCACCCTGCAGAAGCTGTAATAATAAAGGCACATTGTTCAACACAAAGCTGGTTAAAAATAATGATGACAATTATAATGATGATGCCCCAAGTTTCACAGATGAAAGAAATAAAAGATGCCAAATGAAGGATTGAATCAGAGAATTACAGTACTTAGTTTTTAAAAAAAACATTGTTGAATCATTAAAGTGCTCTCATTAAAAGAGGTCATATTAAATGTCTACATTTTATATGAATTGAGACACCTTCCCCCAAACTATGTTTACTTAAAACAAAACAAAACAAAAAAAAAACAGTTTGGGGCAGCTAGGTGGCGCAGTGGATAGAGCACCAGCCCTGGAGTCAGGATGGCCTGTGTTCAAATCCAGCCTCACACACTTGACATTTACTAGCTGTGTGACCCTGGGCAAGTCACTTAACCCCACTGCCTCACCCCCCCCCAAAAAAAAAACAGTTCAGGGCAGGGGGGAGAGGAAAAACACCACCACCACCACCACCACCCAACCCCAAAGGAACAGTAATCTACAATTAGGTAATCCAATCATTATAAAAAGCCAATATAGAATACTCTTAATTTTAGGATTGAGTCAAGAAACTATAAGAAGAAAATATAAGTGTATGTTTATTACAAATACTACAAAAAAATTCGATTTATGCTTAGACACAGGAAGAAAAATAGTAGAAGAAAAAATTCCATACTAAAAAATATTTAAGGATGAGAGCTGAAATGTATGAGTTTAATAAAAAGTTAAGAAGTCTTAAAGGCTATGCAGACAAGAAATAAGATTCAGTTATCTGTGTTCTCCCTGTGTCTCTCCTAGGAACATTTTCAGAACTGAAATTATTGGAGAGTTAAAGAAGAAAAGAAGTCATAAAATGGATGTCATACCTGAATACAGTGCTCACATTTCACAAGTGAAGAAGATGGATCTCTACAGCAGTTACAAAATGATTTCACTTAGGAAGTGACCACTTTTACTAGTCAGTCAATAAACATTTATTAAGCACCGACTACGTGACAAGCACTGTGCTAAGCAATGGAGATTAAAAAAAAAAAAAAAGCAAAAGGCAGCTCCTGCCATCAAGGAGCTTATAACTTAACAAGGAAGATGACAAACAAAGAAGCTACATACAAGAGAAATAGGAAACAATTAAAGGGATGGGGCACTAGAATTATGAAGGGTTGGGAAAGATTTCTGCAGAAGATGGGATTTCAGTTGGGATTTAAAGGAAGCCAGGAGGCAAAAATGAGGAGAGAGAATATTCTAGGCATGAAGGACAGCCAGAAAAAATATCCACAGCTGTGAGATGGAGTATCTTAATCTGAGGGGAAGGATATAGGAAGGCAAGGGGTGGTTATGAAGGGCTTTGAACACCAAATAGGATTCTGTATTTAATGGTGAAGTTGTCAGGGAGCCAATAGTTTATTTTGGGAGAGGAGGGGGAATTTAGATGGTCCTAAACCACTTTAGCAGCTGAATGGAGGATGGCATGGAGTAAGGAGACCCTTAAGGCAGACAGACCCACCAGCAGGTTACTGCAATATCACAAGCACGAGGTTAGGAGGCCTACACCACAGCGGTGGCAGTGTCAGAGGAGAGAAGGGGGCCAAGGTGAAATCATGAGGCCTTGGCAAAAGATTGGTTCGGGCAGGAAGCAGGGACAGATGGTGAGAAATTGAGGATAACTCCTAGTTTGTGAGCCTGAGGGCCTGGGAGGATGAGAGTGACCTGTACAGTCACAGGGAAAGTAGCAGGGGGAAAGGGTTAAGGGGAATGTTAATGTTTTCTGCTCTGGACATACTGGGTTTAAAATGTCTACTGGACATTTAGCTGGAGATACCTGAAAGACAAATGGATATATGAAATTGGAAGTCAGTGAAGAGACTGGTGAAGGGCAGGTAGATCTGAGAATCAACACAGAGACGATAATTAGATCTATGGGAGCTGAGGAGATCACAAAGGGAAGTGATATTAGAGGGAGAAGAGATTATCAAGTAATCAAGTTGCATGTCTAGGTGCAAATTTGGAACTGGGTTTTAAGGATTTGAGAGAAGTGAAAATAGGGTTGAATCTGACCACAGATGTTTGGGTGTCATATGAGAAAGGACAGAAGAAAAGGTGGTTTGAAGGAGACAATTAGGAAAGAACTGTTTTTAAATTTTTTTTATTTAACTAACTCATATCATTATGGAAAAATCAGCTAAAACTTTAAAAAACATTAACCAAGATCAAAAAATCATAGACCCATAAATTTAAAGCTGGAAGAGACCTCTGGCTATTTGGTTCAATCCCTTAATTAAAGCTCAAGGAGATTAAGGGACTTGGTCAAGGGCACAGATACACAAAGTAGCAGAACCAAAATCTGAACTTAGGTCCAGTTGACTCTTAAACTTCTCTTTACCATTCCAAGAATTTCTTAGATATGACCTTCAAACAATAAAATTACGATATATATAAAACATAATGCTTCCCAACTTATTTTTATAAATGTAATATGGATTAATTTTAGCAGAAGTAGAAAAAAAGGTACAGTTTTATTTTCTTTAAAAAGCCCACTATGTAAAAATTACACATATATTGTTTTATAATGTTAATGGGGGCTGGGGGCAGGGAGAGGAACCTGTGTTATAGGTGTGAGAATTCCCTAACCTGATACACACAACAGCCCATTCATATCTTAAAATCTCAGAGCATTGTCTGAGGCTCAGAGAGGTCAGTGACTTGCTTATGGTCCCAAAGCTAGTGAGTGACAAGGATAGGATTTAAACTTGCCCTTGAACTTAATTTTAAGCTGTTCAAAAGCACAATACTCCCTTTTTTTAACCAATATCACCAGGCTAAAAGTATTTAAGCTTATAATTAACTAATGGTCAGAGAGATCACCACCCAAAATACATTTTCATGAAAACCAAATAAACAAAAAGAAAATTTAGTACCTTGAAAACCTGAACAAATGCCTGAAGTGAGAACTTCAGAACTTGAGCAAAACTGAAGATCATTTAGTCCCACCCTCTCATTTTGTAGAGGAATAAACTGGCCCAGAGAGGAGGCTGGGTCCCAAAGACTGAAGAGCAAAGTCAATGGCAAACCTGCCAACAGGACTCTGTATCCTGACTCCCTATACTGTAGTGTTCCTTCCACATCACCATACTGTTCTTTGGCAGTCAAAGATTAATTTATTGTGAAATCCAAACCAAAATTTAAGACAAGTTCAAGAAGTCTGGAAAAAATAAAAAGGCACAAAGCCAAGGACATAATGTATCAAAAATCCCTACATTACGTTTATACACACATACCCTCAAAACTTACTTCTGTTCACTGCCTACAGATTTTTTGTTGTCACTGAGAGCAGGGGGAGCGTCTAGATACCACCATTTAACTCCTTACCTTCACCCAGATATTTACATCTCTTACCATCTAGATCACAAGTATAAGAATTAACACAGCCAACTTTTCGTTTCAATTAAGTACCACCAGAATAACCACCTTCAAAACAATAAAAAACAATTTCTAGTGCTACATAATTTAGCTATGTAAGATAAGTATGAAGTGACAGATTTATTTACAGTGAAGTCTCATTAGAATACTATGCTACAAAGGAGAATTCCATAAAAAGGTGGTTTGGTTTTGTACCACATTTCAGGGGTCTGTTAGTACCGTAAGGATGCAATTATAAAATTGTTTCTCATCACATGAACATAGTAGGATATATAAAAAGTCAGGCTTCAGAATATTAAGTGTACAGAGAAAAGGTAGCCCCAATTTTCAGACAAATCCATGAAGATCTATATAAGTGTAAGATCAACACACAGTAATAAGCACAAAGTATGCAATCAAATACTTACTAATGGCTAAATTGATAAAAGACAACATGGTACTTGTTTATTACCAATATGAAAATTTTCTGGCTAATTCTAAAAATTTAATTCAGCTGAGCCCTCTTTATAAACTCAATGTTTAGCAAATGCAAAAATAAAGTTTTTGTAAAAAAATGTCAATGATAAAGCAAAATTCTAGAAAAATAAAAGTCATCAAAATGTTTTAACTATATATAGCATATACTCTGAAAATATCCTAGAAGAAAAAGATATTCAAGAAATATCTCAGTGTAAATAAAATGAGATGGTTTACAGTAAATATATATTACTTACATTGTATATCCAGCATAAAAGAATACCGAATTTCCTTTTCCAAAGCAGGATGCCTCACAACACAAGTAATACGTCTTCCTCGAGCAAATTTGGTTGGAATAAGTTTATATTGGCTTACAATTGTCACAGTCTCATTTGGAAAAGAAGTTACGGTGGATTCCATTTCACCAAGATCACCTTCCCAGTCAATCTGTGCAACTGGTTTTCCAGTGGCTGCTGTACAAATGGCTGCTACTGTTTCATTTCCACCATCAATTAAAGGGTATGGTCCCTTTCTTAAGCTCACAGTAGGCTCAACTGTTGAAATTTAAAAAAAAAAAAGTTAAACTTGAAAATTAATGTTTATTCAAAAGAAACCAAGCACTCCTAATATGTATGGCTTACAATCAACCTAATACCACTCTTAGGTTGGAAGCTTCCAAGGCAGTGCCATTGTAGACTCTGTAGGTGATTTGCCATTTTATCAAGTTAAAGGAGGCTAGGAATAAATCCCATCAACAAGTCCTGGTTTCAAATGCATCCACACCAGCATTTGCTGACTCTCAAACAGGTACATCTTAATTCAGGTGTTCATTTCCTAAAAGTTGGCTAGAGATGAATTTCCATGAATGGAATCACTTACTAATACTCATTATAAATATATCAGTTTGTCAAGCATGTGTAACTTCATTAGCTTCAAGGCCAACAAAGATCACAACTTCTAAATATAACTGAGTATAGGGAGGTCTTCAAAAGGCACTTCGTCTAAAGAGTTTATTGCCCTATAGTCAATTTGGTTCTTGGCCAACCTATGTAGCCCACCAGCAGGATTACAACCGAAGCCTTTCCCAATTAGAGAAGCATGTTTTTACTGTGCTCATTTTCTACTGGTCCAGCCTTTAAAAACCCAAGATCAGCTTACATTGTGATATGATGGCAGAGTGGGGTTTTAGGACAGTGTCATTATTAAATTGGGGCTACATTCTTATTGGAAAAAATTGGTTTCAACATGTAATAAAAATCATACTTCGGAATGCAGTCTTTTAAAATCAAAGTGGTTTTGCTTTTAAAATACACCAACAGTGACTATACAGATTATTACTGTTCCCTTTGAGTTAGATCCGTAACAGATGTAACATGTATTTTCTGATCCCCTAAATTAAGTATAGGAATTTCTACTTCTAAGTACAGAAGTCAGGTCTTTTAAATTCCCAAATATCATCTCATTCATTTAAATACTCCAGATGAGAGCTATATTAGCTATGATATCATTAAGTATCTTTTATAAATTCTTTACTATGTGGGATAAACAAAGTATTAGGCACCAAAGCATCATTTTTCATAATTTGACAAATACTCATTTCCATGTAATAGTTTTCCTCTAAAGTAGATATATGCCTATATAGTAATGTCAGCTGATTAGGTAATTACATAGATCAAATGAGAATAAAATTACAAAAACAGTACTATCTGTCACCTTAAAAAGGGAAATGTTATTTAATTTTCACATTTTCTCAAAGATGTAGTATGTTCACTGAGTCATCTGTGAAGCCATCCTCACTTACAGGGTCTCGGACTCCTGCAGAAAGTATTTACTTTATACTAATGTCCTAAAACCTGAGTCTAAGTATACCCCCTGATTAGTTAAGAAACAGGCATCTTAATGAAAGTTTGAAGACATTTCACCAGACTAAGGCTCATCCCACTCCCTTGATTTTGTTAACTTCCCTATATTCTCTTTTCCAATCTATTTGGTAGACCAACTTAAACCCTCCGAGTCACAATTACTCCTAAGTATAATAAATAAATAGCATTCAAAGTACCATAATATTATGTCTTAGGGTTAACATTTCCTTTCAAATTACATTCTACTTCCCAGTCTGTAACCACAGGTAGAGATCCTGCACAGCTAAGATGCAGCTGCTCATCCTCAAATTCATTCCACGGAGAATTCCCAGAGTCCTCCTTACACTGAGCAGGGGCAACCCCTGTCAACCCACCTACTGAGCAGGAATTGTAGGGAGAGGTGGTCTTGTACAACCTGTCAGCTGCCACTTGCTCTCTGGTCAGTTTGGCTAGAGTTGGAGTTAGAGTTTGCCTAGAGCAGAATCTATGGCCAAATCTATGCCCCAAAGCTGCCTCTACTCAATGGTAGCAATGGAAGGCCAGTGAAGGACTAGTAGCAGATAGATGCCATCTGTCAGAGAGATGTTCACAGTAACTAACCTGCTAGGAAACAATTCTAAGACTAAATAAAACTGGATGACCTAAGTGAATTGCAAGGGTAAAGGTTGACCTATATGGTCAAAACTAAATCCCTCCCCTTCCCCGAATATCATTTTTTTTTCCTTTCTCCCTACACCAAGAATTTTATACTATCAATCATCTCACAATCCTACTAGAAGTCTAAATTCCTACTTTATATATAAAAAGCTTTCTCCAAGCAGATGAAGCAGGTCCCTTTTTAAATAACTATTGAAACATAACAAAAAATTCAACAATTAGAATGAAAGTTTCTAGAAGCTAAAGACTACCATTTCTGATTTTTTCTTTTAAATCCAGTGCTTCGTACATAGTATTACAAGGTCATAGATTTACCAATGGAAGGACCTTACAGGTCATTTAGTCCAAGGCCCTCAGTTTATAAATGAGGATATGGAGACTTTCTGCAGTAAAATAACATGCCCCATGTTCTACAGGTAGTATCATATACAGGATTTAAAACCCTTTCTTCTAACACCAAGTATACTTTCTACTGTACCATTGTAATACTTCAGGTACTTTAATTGGCATTTGTTAAGTTGACTATGACATGTATAGATAATGCTCTTTATGTCATCTCATGACAGAACCATTTTTATTTGTTGTGTGCTCATCATGCATTAACATATAAAAATTTTGTTTTGGGTTATAATTTCTTAAGAGCTTAATATCCATACTCATATATCTTGTATTACAGAACACCTAGAACAATCCCATAACAATTTATTAATTCTAACAGTACCTGTTAGGAAACTAATGGGGTGGAGGAAAATGTTAACAAAAAATTATCAGCTCCATATTTTGAACCCTCTTGACCTTTTTTTAAAGAAAGGAATTACTTACTAAGAAAAACTTCACTACTTTAAGAATGCTGAACCAAATAAATATTCTATAGTCAGTTCTAACATACACTTTATCTCACATCTCACTTTGTTCCTTTTTTAGATCACACAAGGTAACTTACAACACACACACACACACAATCAGAAAAGGTAATTTAAAACAAATAAAACTCTCTCTTGCTCACCCCATTCAACCAGGCTACCTTCCTCCCACCTAAAATTTTTGCTTTATATCTTACTATCTCTGTGAAATCTTTACTAATAAACAAAATCTGGCAACCAGAAACCCTCTGTCCCTTTCACAAAAAGAAAAGCAACTTTTCATCCAACCCACCATTCTTATCCCTAACCTCTGCCTCCCCTTAAGCTGTCAAGTGCTTTTCTTACAGAAGAGGGTGAAGGGAAAAGTTTTGGATTCACTAACCTTTTCTTTATTAAAAAAAAAAAAACTGCTTTAAAACCTGCTATCTGAGTAGGAATCAGTTTAAAATTTTAATTACAGACAGACCCCTAGCACAAAGACAAGCAAGAGTTCTTATATAAGTTCTTTGGCTAAATCTTATCCAAGGCCTACATCCAGTCAAATTCACAATTAATCATTAGTTGAGATAGCAACCAAAGGAAGCTACAAAAATCAAAATGTTTCAATTATATGTCATGTTTTCTTGGAACATATCATTTTTATATATTTTATTTAATAATCACAATTGTTTCAACCAGTTTATTTAGATTATACCCTTGGTTTTTATTACATTTGTATTGTTTCATTTTTAAATTATGCTCAAAATATCTAGGCCACCAGTGGTGACTCTGAAGATAAAGTTCCTCTAGATCCTGTCCTCTCCATTCCCACTGCTATCAAGCTGAAAGCTCACTTTTTTTTTTTTTTTTTTTTTGCTTTTTGGTGAGGCAATCAGGGTTAAGTGACTTGCCCAGGGTCACACAGCTATTAAGTGTCAAGTGTCTAGGACTGGATTTGAACTCAGGTCCTCTTGACTCCAAGGCCAGAGCTTTACCCACTGTACCTCCTAGCTGCCCTTGGGCTCATCACTCTTGCAACAGTCTCCCCCATGATAATATATTTACCACAGTATTCATGTAGGTGCCCACTGAGTGGGAAAATTCTCCCACATATGAATGTCACAGAATACTATTGTGCAATAAAAAACAAATATGAGGAAATATGAGCAACATACAAAGATCTGTAGGAATGGATAAACTACAAAATAAGATAACACATACAATGACTTTAATAATGTAAATTAAAAGATTACTAAAAGTCAAATTCTAAGTTAAACCAAAGAAGGCGGTAGGAAACAGATAATAAACATAGCTCCTCTGGGAACGTGGAAGACAAATATGAAGAACATTGTATACCTACTCAGATAATTGTAATGGTTAATTTTGCTTAATTGTGGTTCTTTTGTCAGAGCCTTCAAGCTGGTTGGCTCGGTAGTGTGTGAAACAAATATGAGGTGAAAATAAAAGACATCAGTAAAACTTATTTTCAGGACTTCTTGCGATCAGAGTAATCTCCCACTACCTGTCACTTATAGCCTCAGTTTGTTCATCTATAAAAAATTACACTGAATGACATCTAAGGTTATCTCTAGTTCTAGCATTCTGATTCTACTATTCCTCTGAACTCACAGCAATCTTTCATAACATACATATGTACTTCTTGCACTGTTTTTTTTAACTTTTCATGTATTTGTTTTGTATCTCAATCAGACTAAGTTCCTTCAAAACTTCTCTGTGTTCACTCACTCTATTCAGCACCAAGACAATGTTTTTTTAAAGATACATCAGAGACCTAAAGATCTATGTTGAAAAAGCTACCTGAAGCATTCAAAAGTTTCTAAATTTATTTTAGATACACTCACACCAAACATTATATAAAAGCAGGGGAGGAAAAACCTATAATTGTACAAAATACAGAAAAATATCTGTTATAAACGCCATAAGTTCAAAGAAAACCAGCTGAGATGCCCAACCTACTCTGCTCTAATAAGTGCTTTTTTGATCTATTAAATGCAGTTAAAATATTCTCCAGCTATGTGAGAATGTGAATTCCCATTTACCAAAGAAATGATTAGCATTTTTATGCATTATATATTTCTTGCTATGACACCTTCAATGATTTCATTGCAGTGAAATACTATACTTGTAAAGATTAGTTTCTGTGTCCTTTGGACAATCTATACTATAACCTGGTTTTCCTAACTTGAAGATTAGAAAAATCTGTCTTTTGTATACCTGAAATGATGCCAATGCTTAAAAAACATTTTTTTTTAAAAAACTAGTTGTGTGAGATAAATACTATCACAAGTACTAAATGAGGTATTTTGCTGTTACTTATATGCAGCAAACACTCCCCCTTTCTCTGCCTTTGCACAGGATGGCTCTCCGGCATAAATGCTCTTTCCCTCTATCTCTTAGAATTCTAGGCTCCAAATCAGAGATTGGCTTGATTGTGCCGGGGCTTCTCTGTAAGTATACTCCCTCCACTCCAAAATTTGGATCTGTGCACATGCTCTCCTCCGCACTCCCACCCTCAACAGAATGGAAGTTCCTCAAGCTGTTGCTTTTGTCTCTGTATCCATAGTACCTCACACAGAATAGAAACTTAATAAATGCTTGTTGAATTTAACTGAATCCAAGTAGAAAGTCAAATTAAAAGAGCTTCAAATTTACACGGCTATTGTAAAATGTAAAGTGCCTTTAATGGATTCTGTGATTAGTGCTCCTAGAAATCTGAATATTTACAGCTTGATGCTTATATTTGTATAGGTACCTGAGAGAGAAGGACCACAACTATCCGAATAATTAGAGTGATTCAAAAATGGAATGGGGGTTTTCCTCAAGAATTAAAGGATTTCAGGGCAGCTAGGTGGCGCAGTGGATAGAGCATCAGCCCTGCAGTCAGGAGGACCTGAGTTCAAATCAGGCCTCAGACACTTGACACTTATTAGCTGTGTGACCCTAGGCAACTCACTTTACTCCGATTGCCTCACAAGAAGAAGAAGTAATGGATTCCCACCTCACTAAAGGCTTGTCAGGCAGTCTGAGATAAGTTAAGGGTTAGACTAGATGATCTAAAGTCCCTCCCAACATTCTGTGTTATGAAACAAATGCTTGTGGCAAGGGCCCATTTGCATTGTGAACTCTTCAAAATAAAGGAGTCTTTCTTTTACATTGCCAAACCTCCTTATCATTACTGGAAGAAGGAAACCTTTACCCCTTGGCCAGGGATAGTATGTAATGTTTGTTTTTTTTTCCCTTTGTTCTTGCTCAAACAGTTAACAAGGACATGTTCTTCAGTTTGAATTTACACCCATTCCTCCAGCCTATTTATATAAGTGTTTCTAAAGCATCCCAAAAGCCAAGCAGCAGAATCTATTTCTGCTGTTATTTACACAAAAAGAAGAGGAATGAGAAAAAAAATGGGAAAATGACTCTCATGATAAATCTGGAAGGCAATTACCTGTATTAAGTGTTCTGGTTACAATTTTGGTTGAGAGCTCATTGATATTGTTCTTGGATGAGCAGAAGTTAACAAAAGCAAGACTGGGGAGTAGAGCTGGGAGTGCAGTACAAGTAATGAGTCAAATGTTAGTAGTTGTTATTGCTATTTCAACAAGCCACCAATTAAAACTATTTGTCCACTAGGATAGCACAATTACATTAAAAGTCAACTTTTCAGGGGCAGCTAGATGGCACAGTGGATAAAGCTCTGGCCTTGGAGTCAGGAGGACCTGAGTCCAAATTTGGCCTCAGACACTTGACACTTACTAGCTGCATGACCCTGGCCAAGTCACTTAACCCTGACTGCCTCACCAAGAAAAAAAAAAAGAGAGACTAAAAGTCAACTTTTCTATACTAATTCTTTCATTGCTTCAGCCTAAATGAATGTCAAACGTAAAACTGAATTTTTTAAATTCAAAAATTTCAAACCCAATTTTACAAAAAAGAAAAACACAGAAAGCTAACAATAAATATGAAAACTAAATTATGAAAAAGGCAAAGTTAGAGGCTATTATTGGAAAACTTTTTTTTAAAAAATCATATACTCTTAGTTTTACAGCAGAACAATTTAACTCTCAAGAAAGCTTTCTTATAATTGTTAACTATCTTATCTCCAAGCATTACAACTGCACTGTCCTAATTAAACCAGTCCAAAGTAATTCATAGATTTTGTAATTAAACACAATTATTTCCAAAATTTCACGGCAAATGGGAGTAAAAATTATACTTCCTAACAATTAAGTTCAAGAAATCTATTTAAATCTAAGAATAAATTTTACTTTAAAAACATAAATATCATATTTCAAATATATTTCAGATAATATATCAGATGTTCATTTAATTATCTGAAAATACCCTGTATTTCACAAATTGCAAGTTACTAATGGCAGAACCTACTTAAATAATTTTGGTTACTTATTTAATAATGAGTCAGAGGAATACTAAGGCATTTAACTAGATTTTTTTTTTTAATTTCTGCTTCTACTTTGGGAAAATGCTACGAAGAACTGATTTGCAAATAACCTTTCAAATGAATGTTCAATGCTAAGACACAAAGTCAGGGAAATTCTCAAGTATTTTTGATGGAAAGTTTAAGAAAATTTAAATCACCTTACACCTTTATTTAAATCTTCAAAAAAGTTCAGAAGTATAGCTCTCCTTCTGAATGGTATCTGAAAACAACTGTTGTGATTTCTGTGAACATTAAACACTAAGATATTTTGGATATTATTCCCTAACTAATCTAAAATATCTAGAGACTGTTGTCTCAAGGATACCAGGACTTAACCTCATATGCATTTTAAAAAAAAATCAATTAAAAATGGCAATGCTATTAAAATTTGAAAACCTAAAGAGAACAGAAATGATTAACTGTTAAGCTAAACCAACTCAGGTTCAGAACTACATGTCCAGGAAAAACATTTTAAAAAGAAATACATTAAATGTACATGAGTCACATAAAATTTCCAACAGACATGATGAAGACTTTAGAGTTAGAAGGAACTTCAGTCTTCAGTACCATTCTAAAGTTTCAACCACTTCATCTCTTTAGAAATATCTTCATTGTACATAATATATTTACAAACATTATTCAAATATACCTACCCAGTACAGTTACAGTTGTAGATGACTGCGCATTTCCTAATGGGAATGTAACCGCCTTGCATATATATTCTCCTGAATCAGAAAAGTCTATGTTTCGGAGAACAATGGTTGCATCATTAAGTGAATGATTTTTAAATAAGACTCTCCCTTGATAGGCCTCTTGAACAGAGAATCCATATTGAGGATGATGAACTGCAACAGTCTGTGAGCTTTTGCCTTGAATCTTCTCCCATGAAACTTGTGTTATAGTTTCGTTTACTTCAATTATACACTTCAATGAAACATTCTTCCCCCATACTGCTGTGACATATGGTTCCACAACAATTGGTCCAGCTAAGGCACCTAAAAAAAAAAAAAGAAAGAGAAGAAAAAAGTATTAGTATAGTTAATTAAAACTCAAAGACACCTGTGAAATCACAAATGAAGATTCTGAGGTTCTGGTCCTGAATCCCTTGTCCTGCAGGTATTGCCAGGATGATAAATTAAACACTCCTACCCATCTCCCCACCCCCTTCCTTCTCTGTCACACTTCTCTCCTCCCTCACCCTCCATTACTTGTTACCAAAACATGTTATAGAAAATAATATACAGGAAAACATTAAAAATTATGAAGGCCTGACCTAGGACGGCAACAGGCAGAATGGGAGGGAGGAACATAAGAAATACCATAGAGGTAAAATAGATGGGGCTTTGAAAACTGTTTGGATGTATAACTTGAAGGAAAGAAGGATGGCAAGATGCTTCTGAGGTCAAAACAGATAAAAGGTAGAACTGGTGATGCCAGCTAATACAGAAACATGATAAGGAATATGCTTTAAAGAAAGGAGCAGTTCAGGTCTGGACATGTTCAATTTGAGGTTCGAGTGGAACATTCCAGTTAGAAGTATCCAGGAGGTAGATGAAAATGTGGGTCAGTAGCTTAGGACTGGGAAACAGATAAGTTCTGGAGTCATGTGAATAAAAATGATAGCTGAAACCCTGTGAGTGAAAGAAGCAAAGAGCACAAAGAAGAGCGGAAAGTAGAAACTTAAATGCCAGCGATAAAGATAAGTCAACGAAAAGGGGGGAGGGGGAGAGGAATACTGCTTATTTACACAAAGTTAGTAGAGCTAACTCAATGGAGGTAGGCTGGTAAGCTCCCACATGTCTGCTTCAGCAACAACCAGAAATTAACATCAGACTGAATAATGATCACAAAGTCCAATGAAACTTCTGGGTCACATGACCAGTAAGATGGCGAAATTAGACATTTTGTCCAGTCCTCACTAACTCTACAATCTCCCCACAAACAAGAATCATACATGAAAGGAAAAGCAATTACAGCTTTATCCACAGAATATTATTGGGTCAGAAGAAATGATGAAAGAAAAGTGCAAAAACATTGAAGAGTATGAGTTGATGGAAAATGAAGTGAGTAGAATGAGAAAAAATAAGCAACTTTGAAAGATTTAAGAACTCTGATCAAGGCAATGACCAAGGATATCTCCAGAGGACCTGTGATAAAACATGCTATTCACCTTTTAACCAACAGATAATGGACTCAAGATACACAAAGAGACATAGTTTTTTGGACATGACCATTGTGTGGAATTGTTTGTTTGACTACACTGAAAACAAGGTTTGTTGGTTTTTCCTCTTTCCTCTTTTCCTCTTTTTTAATTGGGCATCCATGATTAGTATTATTGATAACAATAAAAGGCCATTGAAATGTTTTATTTAAATTCATAGAAGAGAATAGATACAAGGAAGCACAAACAAGCAGAACAACTTAAAAATTACTTCTGGAATTTATTATATACTTTTTCAAAAGCAAGAAGTATGAAATGGTGATTCAGAATTTTATATATAATACTCTGAATTCTGCTACACAAATTGAAATGTTCTCTTTTTTTTGGTGTTTAAATTAAGTTTGAAGGGGTCCTTTTTGATACTATGAGTAGCTATTTTCTTACTGTATTATGTATGCAGGTAGGCTGATCTTGCATTCTGGGCTTGATGCATAACTTGATTCATTGTCTAGTGTGATGGTCTCCAAATCTTTTTAAAAACCGTATGTGCTAGTTAAAAAAAAAAATTAAGTCTATACACCAATGTGTATATTCATTTATAAATTATATGCATGTACTGGTATACTGTTATGTACTTTATAACATTTCTTTGGCTTGATAAAAAAAATTTAAAACAAATTACTAGAGCCTGGTGAATATGGTGTCACACAAACCAAAGAAGAGAACATCAAAAAGAAATGATCAATGTCAACACACCAATGATTCAAAAGATCTATTATCTCACCAACTGTAGAGGCTTTTTCAAACAGTTTAGCCACAAAGTGAGGAGATATAATCAGGACAATAGCTAGCAAAGATGGACAGATCAAGTAAGGTCTTTTTGAGGGTGAAGGGGACAGGTGTGTTTGTAGGTAACAGGAAAACAGCCAGAAGATAAGGAAAGATTGAAGATAAGAGGAGGAAATCTGCTAGAAAAGACAGAATGGAATGAGGTCATTTTTACACATAGAAGGGATTAATCTTGGCAAGAAGGGCTATCTTTTCATGTGAGACAAAGGGTGATGGAGACATCTGAGTAATATGAGATAAGGAAAAGGGAGCACTTGGTGAATGGATTCAATTTTTTCTCTAAAATATGAGGCAAGAGTTCTTAGCTGAGAGAGTAGAGAGAGGAGCAGTAGGAAGTTTAATCAGGGATAGAAAGGGTTGGAAAAGCCACTGTGGTTAGAGGTACAGAGAATCGATTAGGATGGTGTAAAAGAATTGCATTGTTGAAGTGAGGGCACACTTGTGATTTTATAATATAAATTTACAACATGCCTTTTGCTGTCAGTATGAAGCAGAGGCAGTAGATTGTCAGAATAATTCAAGGCAGGACAAGATCAAAAAAAGGACTCAAGAGAAGAGGATAGCATAAACTCAAGTGCACAGACACATACTTTTTTGGATATGACCACTGTCTGACTATGCTTAAAAACAAGGTTTGTTGTTGTTTGCTGGTCTTCTCTCTTTCAGTTTTTTAACTGGGAATCCAGTTAGTATTATTGATAATGAAAGAAAAGAAAGGGCGGCCACTGAACATTTTATTTGTGTCTCTTTGTTCACCTTGAGTCTAACTCTATGATATCCTCTTCTCTTCAACCCCTTGCACCCTTATGTTATTTCTGATCTTGTCCTACCTTGATATATTATGACAGAGTTCACCAAAGGGTCAATGTGAAGAAGGAGAATATAGCCAGTGAAAGTGATGGCCTAAGAAAGAACCAAGGCCTGGATGGATTAGACATAACAATGAAGATGAAGAACAAGGTTAAAGGTTTTAGGTTGAGGCAAGGGTGGAATAACAGATTAATGAAAGAATTTCAGAGTTAATGATCATGGGGGCGAACACTTGTTAGTGAATCCAATATTAAGAGTAACACCCTCTCTGGGTATAGCTTAGGTGGAGTGGAGGAGTTCATGGGAAATGAGTAAGTTGAAGTAGTACAAAGTAAAAGTGTTTGATAGAACACAGAGTGAGAGAGAGAGAGAGAGAGAGAGAGAGAGAGAGAGAAATCTCTGAGTATTACAACAGGAATTGTTGAGAAAAAGAAAGGCTTGTGAGGCAGGCAGTGACCTCAGTGATTAAGGAGTAGAGGTGAGACAGCACACACAACTGTTCTGGAATGACACCATGTCAATTTTTTCTGCCTATCAAAATAATTTTTGAAAGAAGGACGCTCAACAGGTCCAGCACCTCCTAATTCTTTTTTCCAAAAACTCCAAGATTTCTGGATGTATAAACATGTTGTTTCTGTGCAGTGTATATGCTTTAGGCCTCTCTCTTATTCATGATTCATAAGCCAAATCTTTGAATTTATTTTTCACCATCCTCTCCCTACCTATCTTGACATCTAAGTCACCAAATCTCAATTTAACTTGAAGAGTCCAATATAATGTAGAAGATCGATAAGAATTTATTTAAAAAGGCAAATCACAGTCCCTGTCCTTAAGGAGCTCACAATCTAATGGAATCTCTTACAATTTCTCTACTTCAGCAAAAGAGGCTGGCACTTTTGACACAATTATCTTCCTGGTAGTTTTCCTGCAAATCCTGATAAGCACTACAATATGAGGTGAACCAATATGCTATCCCACCTGAAATGTCATTTGTTTTCTTTGCATATATTAAAATCAAGACTTTTTTTTGCCTATGAACCATCCTTCCATTTCACAGCAACTTCCCTTCGTTCTCTGCTTTGGTTTATAAAGAGAATGTCAAGATTGAGACAATTCAGTTTCCCCAATAATGTCTTCTTCCTATTAGACAAAGATTTAACATCAAAGTACCAATAACTTAATGTTTACATATTATCTAAGGACCTTTCTAGCATTCTCTGCCCCCTTCTCCCCATCCCCCAATCTGCCATTATCAACACAGAAACAGAAGCTTCAACCCAAAACTGAGGCCTATTTTGTAAGTTTTTCTTTATTTCACAGGTTGCCATGGTTGAAGAATTAACCAAGTAACCAACCTACTGGTGATGTGTTACTCGAACCATATTTGAAGTTTTTTCTAGGGAAATCTAGTTTGCTCCCTTCTATTCCTCCTCCCCCGTCCTCCCCCCCCCCCCCCCCCCCCCCCCCCCCCGCAAAAAAAATGTGACATGACCTTCAAGAATTCCATATCAAGGGAAGGAATCAAAGTAAGACTCTGTGAATCAGTGTTAAACAATGCATTAATGTAAAGAAAGACGGTGACTAAGAGTAGTCCATTGGATTTGACCATCAAAATAATTGGTGATAACAGTAGAATGATAAAGACAAATTGCAAGAAAGACGTAGAATTAAAGGTCACAGACTTTTGTAGACTATTGTCTCCAGGAGTCTGGTGACGAGTGGAAAAAAAAAAAAAAGGGCTATGGTAGTTCCAAGGAATATCAAGGTCAAAGAAGTTTTATTCGTTTTAAGAACAAGGAAAATATGAATGAATGGTAAAATGAACTGTTTGCAGGCAGAGCTCAGAGTATAGAGTATACAGAGTATCTAGCTGAGTATCTAGCTGCATAAAGTTTGCCTTTAAGAAAAGAAATAGATTACCTCTTCAAAAACTAGAAGGACAAAAAAGATGGGTAAAGATTTAAAAAAAAATTTAAAAGAGAAGTTTGGGGTCTTAGCAGAAACTAGCAAAGGCAATTCATATTAACTTTAAGCTATTCACACGATCTTAGTAAAGTGACATGCTGACAGTAATGGGTAAGATATAGAAATCTGCTTATAAAAGACAAGAATTGGAACAGGCTCTGACAAATAAATATAAAACAAAACAATTATTAATTTCAAAGCCTATTTAAC